AGATCTCCATCTTTTAAGGTCTTCTTTAATTTCTTTCTTTAGTGTTCTGTAGTTTTCATTGTAGAGGTCTTTTACTGATTTTGTTAGATTAATTCCCAATTATTGAATGTTTTTTGAGGATATTGTGAACAGGATAATTTTCCTGATTTCTCTTTCAGCTGATTCATCATTAGTATATTGGAATACAATTGGTTTATGGGTGTTAATTTTATATTCTATAAGACCTACTGAATTTGTTTATGAGTTCTAGAAGCTTTCTGGTGGAATTTTTTGGATCTTCTAAATATAGAATCATGTCGTTGGCAAATAGGGATAGTTTGAGTTCTCCTTTTCCTATTTGTATCCCTTTTGATTTCTTTCTTTTGTCTAATTGCTCCGGCTACAGTTTCAAGGACTAGTTCGTATAGAAGTTCATTCTGACAGTCTTAAGTGTGTGCTTAACTTCCAGTTGGTATACTGTTTCCTAGGATCTTACTTTGTGTTTTCAAGTCACTCTTTTTATGTTTTTTTTTTTTATTTTTATTTTTTATTTCTTCTTCTTTCTCCTTGTTTGAAAGTTAGATGTTTTAACTTCTGAGCTAAAGTATAAAATTACTAGTACATCACCTTCTAGTACATTACCTTCCCCTAGACAACACACCTGGAGAGCTTTCCTTCCAGTCACCCCGGCCTTCTCACATGTCAGTGTCATTGTGCATTTTAATTCTTCCCCATTTTTATATCAGATTAGATGCAGTAATTTTCTGGGTCTTTGTGAATTTATATTACCCTAGTTTCTCAATTCCTTTACTCCCACTCTTGCGTGGCAGCCTCCTTTTCCTGGTTTGGTGTCCTTCGTCCTTCCAGCAGGGCTTATGGTAGTACAGGGCTCTGGTTCTCTCATCCCAGCTGGCTTCTTCTTAAAGCAGCCACTTGAATAGACTCAAGCAGGGCATGGGGTCTACCCAATAGGAGGTTGGTAACAGCCAAGGAGGCCAACTGCTGTGCTTTATTCTGGGGAGTCACAGATCTGGGGTTAATTTGGTGGGCCTTAGCTAACAACTTGTTTTGGACAGGCAGTATGTGGGAGTCAGATGTGCATGATATACATGCAGAAGCTGTGGGTTCGCAGAGCAGGCCCTGGAGGGCAGTGGGTTCCTGCTATGGACCCAGCAGTCACTGAGAAGAGCTAGGCTGGGTGGGATAGCTCACAGAATTCCCTCAACCTCTCTTCCTTCTTCCCCAGCTTTATCACATTCCGTTCCTGTGCTTACCTGGACAAGAAGCACACCATCTTTGGAAGGTAAGAGCAGCTGCTGCGTGAAGTTGGGGGTGTCCACTTGGGCCAGGCCATTCTTTCCCCAGCTGGGATCTCTCACTGCCTCTTCCTAACTTGAGCTTGTGCCTGTTGTGCCCTTGTAATGTTTCTGCTGAGGCTGTGGCTGTAGAGTGGGGTATGGGGTATTTCTGTGGAGAGTGGAGAGAGCTCTCCAGACCTGTTGGGTTGACAAGAAGAGACAAGTCCCAGCCCAACCTGGCCAGCTGCCCTGGCTCAGACCTTCCACTTTCCCACTCTGGGTACCCTTTGGATAGTACCCAGGTTGGAGGTCAGGGCCAGGTCCTATCTTTCTCTTCATGCTCCAGGTGTGGGGGTTGGCAGACTTTCCCATAAAGGCCTAGATGATATCTCCAGCTTGATGGGCCACATGGTCATCTGGGGTTCTGGCATAAAACAGACACAGAAATATGGAAGCAACAGATGTAGTTCTATCCAAATAACTGGGAGTTGGATCTGGACCCAGTTATGGTCTATTTACCTTCTCTCTTTCAGCCCCTCCAGCAGCTCTGCTGCTGCCCAAGGAGTCAGGCCAATCTGATTGGGTGGTGATTTCATGGGGCCCCATATCTTGGGCCAGTTCCTATTCTGGTGTGCCTCAGGGACTTTGAGGTGTGCTGCCCCAGGGCACATGCATACTCACCTGTCCCTCTGCTCCAGGGTTGTTGGGGGCTTTGACACACTGACAGCCATGGAGAATGTGGAAAGCGACCCCAAAACTGACCGCCCTAAGGTATGTAGCCAGGGAAAGCATAGGGGCCACTGCCTAGTGGTGCAGGGGAGCCTGCTGTTTACTCATTCAACTTGCCCATATGCCACCAGGAGGAGGTCCGCATTGATGCCACCACAGTGTTTGTAGACCCCTATGAGGAGGCAGATGCCCAGGTAAGGAGGGCACAGTGCTACCACCCTGGGAGGGCTTTGGGCAAGCTATGTCAGTCCTCACTGGGGCAGAAGGACCTCCACATCTCCAAGACACTCCAGGTCACCCACAGTCCTGTTCCTCTCCAGATTGCACAGGAGCGGAAGAAGACACAGCTTGAAGTGGCCCCAGAGGCCAAGGTGAAGTCCAGCCAGCCTCAGCCTGGGAGCCAGGGCCCCCAGACATATCGCCAAGGGGTGGGCAAGTACATCAATCCAGCTGCCACGTGAGTAGGGCAGGTGGCTCTGCCATATCCCTCCCAAAAGCTAGGACCCATTTTCTACAGTGCTCCCATAGGCAGATCAGGCAGTGGCAAGAAAACCTAATTTAGACATGGGACTGAACTTGTGCCCTGGAGGACACTGCAGCCACAGGGACTATTCCATACAGGTTTGGGCAGGGCTTCTGTGCAGGCCAAAGAATCTCAGCACTGGGAGTTATGGGATTTCTATGAGGGGAGGGCCAGTAGAGGTTTCAGTTCATTTTGAGAGGGATGTGGGAGGGCATGGGCTCCTGGCACATGTGTGGCTGCTGTAGCGTGTTTGTTTTCTCAGGAAACGAGCAGCTGAAGAAGAACCATCAACCAGTACAGCTGCCTCCATATCCAAGAAAAAGCCCAGCCGGGGTTTTGGGGACTTCAGCTCCTGGTAGCAGCAGGTGGTTACTCTGGATCCTGGTAGGGATGAAGGGTTGGGGGAGGTTTGTGCCTGTATTCCTGACCTTTCTGCCCATCTTTCAGGCTGTGATCCAATAAAGCTCTTGCCTGTTGCCTGGGTCCCCTTTACTGGCCCCTGGGACCTTGGCTTCCCCATCCTTCACCTGGTGTTGGGATTCCTTGCTTCTTTCCAAGCTTGAGCCCAGCCTTGGGTCCTGCCCTAGACCCCACATGGGGCTCTGGTCTCCTGTGGTCAGGCCCAGGTTAGTGAGAAAGGCCTTGTCTCCTCCTGTGCTTTCCTTACCCTTCTTACCCTTTTTTCTGTCATCTCAGGACAGTCCATATGCTCTGATCTTCTGGTACCACTTGGGACCTTGTTAGAAACACAGATTCTCAGACGACTCCAGACATGATCCTGAGCTTCTGGAAGCTGGGACTCCCTAGTGTTTTTTTTTTTTTTTTTTAAGCGAGAGGGGGAGGGGAGAGAGAGAGAGAGAGAGAGAGAGAGAGAGAGAGAGAGAGAGTGCCTAGTGTTTTTTTTTTTTTTTTTTAAGCGTACTGGGGATCAAACCCAGGGCCTAAGCACTCTACCACTTATCCCGAGCCTCATCCCCAGGCTTTCCCTAGTTTTTTTCTTTTTTCTTTTTTTTTTTAGTTGTAATTGGATACAATATCTTTAATAAATTTATTTTTATGTGGTGCTGAGGATCAAACCCAGGGCCTCGCAAGTGCTCTACCTCTGAGCCACAACCCCAGTCCCCTAGTCTGTTTCGACAAATGCTCTGGGGCTTCTAACTCTGGAATAGAGCCTTGACAATACTCTGCCACTCCTTGCTTGGAACTGGGCATGCTCACCTTTGGATGTATTAAGCTGCCTTGTCTCTCCACCCGAGTCAAACCTCCATGAGGCTTATAGCCCCTGTTGTGATGAGGATAGGGGACAGCACTGGACCTCACTGCTGAGACCCTGCTTCTCAGTCACCAGCTCCTCTGCCAGGCCAGTTCTCTCAGCATTCCTGACTTAAGGGTTCCTTCCATTGACCCACATTGACCCATTTTTCTGTGAAAAGTGTCCAAAAAATTTCCACCCACCTGTTCCTGATCACTTTTTGTTCCCTCTTCAGTCTGGCAGCCTAGCTTCTAGTCTCCTGATATTAGTCCCTGATACCTTGGTTTCCTCTAAACACCTCTTTGGGAGCATGGTTTCTGCCTCTGGGGAGAGTGTCAAGTCAGTATTCTCTGGCACCAGACCTATTAGATGATGTGTCTGTCCTTGGTCTATCACCTCTTCCAATCTCATCACATTAAAATTCTAACGTAGGCTTGATTCTTGTGTTGATTCTTGTGTTTCTCTTTCCTCATTTACAACCTTGAATCCATCAGCACTCTTGGTTCTAGAATATACCCTGGGCTCTTCTGATACTGACACCAAAGGCCTGAGCCCTTTGCCCTTTGGATGGCAGGCATGCCCTTGCCCACTTCCATACTGTTGCTGCCAAGTGATCTTCATGAGGCACATTTTCCCACTGTCATCTTGCTTCATGCCAGCCACTGGCTTTTCTTTGGCTGAGAACAGGTCTATACCTCATCCCCACAGGCCAGCTCCACCTTCTCCAGCCTCTTCCTCTGTAGCCACCCATGCCCATCAGTCAGAACCGTGGGCTCCTTGGTGACCCTGCAGCACTTCCATTACATACCTCTTCACATCTCCCACCAGGTTTTCATCACTCAGTTTATCCCTGCCCACTTGTCTGATAATTCACTTTTGCAAGAAAATGCTCAACAGGATGCAGTGACAGACTAGGCAGACACAAGCCTGTAGACAGGGTGGGGAAGGGAGAATGCTGGAGGGGACTATATACCTGACTTTGATCATGCATGAGGGTGCTGCCTGCCTCTTCAGCCATCATTTTAACTGTACTCTTATCCTTTTCTCTGGTCATAGTCAAAAGCTCGGCGACCAGGCAGTGTGATACAGCAGTAGGACTCCAGCAGCTCTGAGACCCCAAAACAGCCCTTTGCTCTGGTGAGCTCTGCAGGAAACCTGGGGCTCATCCCTCATTAAGGGCACAGCCTCCTCAACAATGAGCAACATGTAAAACAAGAAGTCTGACATCAGAAGCTTTATTTATAAACCTCACACAAACATAGGACCAAAGGCCAGTGGCATGGCTTGGGGTAGGGGAAACTGAAGGCGGTGTGTGCACTTGAGCTTGATCATCCTTGCTCCTTGAAGCGAAGCTTCCTGCTGCCTCCAGGCTGCTGTCCATCTGTCCATCCAGCCTTATCCAGTGATCTGCACCTGCCCCAAGGGGAGGGCCATATCCTCACCCAAACTTGCCCTCCAGGGCAGAAGACAGGCCTGACCAAGTCCTTTGACAGAAGGTTTATATTTCTGTAGTTCATTTTAGAGCTTAAATTATGTCCTTCTAGATATTAAACCACTTGGATTTTGTAACTGCCTGATGAGATCATCAGGTAGAATAAAAGACTTTTGGAAAAAAATCTCATCTCTGATCCTTTTGAATATCTGACAGATGCCATCAAGAATAAATTTTAAGATATAAAAATACTATGAGTGTACATATATAAAATGACAAAACTAAACCACATTTCTAAAGCAAATGTACTGTGCCAGAATGTACTACAAATGTATTTATAATCCTAGATACAACTCCAAATATTCTCAAGGAAAAAATTTAAATAAATAAAAGTCATGGGATGAGAGTTATTGTTTAGGAATTTAAGAAGGTGGAATATTCCAGCACTTCACCAGCACATCTGGTTGTGGTCTTGTGAGTATTACTTCCCCTGATGCCAGCTCATGGTCAGTTCATTTGGTTTACAGTTTAAAAAAGAAACTTATATTTCTCAGAAGACCACCACCATCAACAAAAAATGATAAAAGTTGTGTTGGTATCCATTACCAACAAAAGTACAAAATAAGTCATAAGAGTACTAGTAAAAAATTTTCAATCAATGCCATCACAAAAGACGATACAAAAACCAAAGTGCTCAAATGAAAGGAGCAGTAAACTTGCCCAGAACATATAAAAAGCTTTAAATATAACCTTAGTATATACAAAAATGGGTCAGAAAAATTCTAGAAAAGTCTCTTCAATTTAAGTAAAACATTTATGGAATCGTACTCGGGCTGCACTCTAGGCAGGCTAGTGAAGCCATATCATTTCTTCCCATTCTCTGAGCCTCAAAGGCTAAGTTCCCACTTGCAAAAGGAATGAAGACTAGAAAGGAAGTCACTGTTAGCTAATTTTTCACTTAGTGCTCATTTGTCAATTAAGGAAGATGTCTTTCCCCTTTACAATGCCACATAATGGACAGAAGCCACAGACCTTGCTACTTCATGTGCCACTCACAAGTGAAGCATCTTTAGATTTCAGATCTTGGGAGCAACAACTCCAGGCTCTGGCCACCTCATGGTGGAAAGCTGTTTAACTTAGTAATACAGGAATACAGTAAGCCAGCCTCAGTCTACAGGAGACTAGCTCAAGAGAAAGCAGCTTGCTGGACCACCACCAGATGCAGAGGCTTACAGGCTGTGCAAAGATGTCCTTGCTTTTTTAGGGTGAAGATGTGCTTAAAGTGACCTAGCACTGCTACTCCTACTAAGCTGATAATGGCTTGGTGACATGCCCACTAAGTCACTGAACCCAGGACAATGCATTTCCCACATTCCAAAGCATCTAGTCTTGGGCAAAGAGATGGCACCAAAGGGTAGGCTCTGGGATGAGCACTGAATGGGAGCCAGGTGGCAACCCAGTGCCTGCACTGGTGACGGGACCTGGGCAGCTGGGGAGCTGGAACTGTCCAGAGACAGTTTCACAGCCATTTGCTAGGCTGAGAGCTATCAAAGCACACTGCTCTTCTAGCTCTCTGCCTCCCTACCACCAGCCTTTTTTTCTACCCCTCTGCCCTAAGCTGGGGTACAAATTGTTGTACATCTAGAAATGTTTTCTAATTTCCATTCTCTGCAGATCGGCTGATACTCTTGAATAGTGCCCATGCACTGCAGAGGCACAGGAGGATGGTGGGCCATGACTTAAAAAAATTCTGTGACAGAAACCCAGCATTTGGGAGACTGCCCAGGTCCCTTCCACATCAGCCCGCATGACAGCACCAGAAAGGGGAAAGGTGACTTACCCAGCAAGCCAAACACCTTTCCTTTACAACATTTAAACCCGTCTTGCAATTTTTAACCTTTTCTAAAGAAATTTTAATCTGGCAAATCTCAAGTTAGGAAGTTTTCCTGCTGGTTCTGACCTCTTTCATATGCAAAAATAATTCTTTTTCTTCAAGTACGTCCAGGTAGAAAATGAAATCCAGCTTCATACTTGGTCCAGCATGCTACTTATAATGACATGAACCAGCCATTCAGCAACTGCCAGACTTGTGAGCCACTGTTACTACTGAGGGTAAAACCTCCAGGTCCAGACCTGTGAGGCTATCACCTCAGTAATGGCCTCTGCAGGGCCCTGGCATGGTCTTTTCTAGAGATTAGTTCACTTGCTTTCTAGATAAGGAATCTATTGCCTTAAAGAAACAAAATGTTCATTAGACATATTTCTCTATTTATAGCTTATCTAAAATGTATTGGTTATGTTCCATTTTTGAACAGGCTAAAACAACAACAACAAAAAAAACCACTCTGGGTGGATAAATTTGTTGACTGCTTCTGAAAGATTCTTAAATGGACACTATGCCTTACGGTTTACATGTAGAAGGAATAACCAATTTGTAGTTTTGAGAATTGGGGTAAAACAAGCTACCTTACTCTAAAAAAGGGAGAAGTGAGACTTGCTCTTGAAAGAGACCTTGCCTCTCTGGTCTTTAGGGACTTAGTTTTAGATTTCTATTGAACATGAAAAAGCACAGCCAAACTATATTGAAGGCATAGGTTAAAAGAAGGTATTAATTAGGCAAATAAGTCATCAGTTGGTTAATTCTTTTTCTAGAACTTGAGAAGTTAGAAAAAGATCATTGCAAACTTTCAGAAACAACCATGTACATAAACAGGACACAAATTGGGGATGCCTTACCCAAGGAGATGGCCAAGAGAGGCCTTTGAGTGTCAAAGCACGGCTAGCCTGTGAGGTCAAAGTTCAAGAAATATTGTCATCCGGGATGCTCTTACATCTCCATTACACTTCAGTCTCTTTCACAAAATAGTATTCAAGAGAATGGAAAGTTTCCACTTTACTCCCAACCATTGTCTTTGATCATGTGGGCAAGCTCAATAATAAATTTTCCTTCCTTATATTTCTGACTGCTCTCAAAGGCATGTTCCTTGGGAGGGGGGAAAAAAAGTAGAGAGAAGGTTTCAGGACAGAATCTTTCATTTTTCAACTTCATTATACCTTTTTTTTTTTTTTCTTGGTGATGAGGTTTGAACCCAGGGGCACTCTACCACTGAGCCACAAGCCCAGCAATTTTTATTTTGAGACAGGGTAGAAAATGCAGTCTCCCCAGCTGCTGGGATTATAGGTATGTACCACCATGCCTGGCTTTCCTTTTCTTACAAAAATAGGGATTAAAGGCCACCCTAATTTGGTTCTGGGGATTTAACCCAGAGGTGGTTTACCATTGAGTTACGTACACTGCCCTTCTTATTTTTTGAGACAAGGGTCTTGCAAATTGCCAAGGCTGGCTGTGAACTTGCAATCCTCCTGCCTCAGTCTCCTGGGATTACAGGCCTGTAATGCTGTGCCCATCTGTGTAGTGTTAATTCAAACCTTCAAAGACCAGGATTTGGGATATAGCTCACTGGGCAAGCATGTGCTTAGCTGGTTTGAGGCTGTGGGTTCTATAACCAGCACACCAAAAAAAAAAAAAAAATCCGTTTATTGAACATGTACTATGCATAGGGCAATTTAGGAGATATGATTGATATGAAGCACAGAGACATCAGTAAAAAACAGGTCAAAAATGCTCAGGAGCAGGCCTTTTATGCAAGGACAATGGATACCGTCCTATCATTTTTTAATACTGAGTATATGGCCTGATGATACATACCTGTGTTGGGGACATAAATGACTAGGGTGAGTTGTCTGGTAGGCACAGAAGAGATGGTCGCAGTAGGAAAGTAGCAGGTATAGCCATAGAGGAGACACATGGTATGGTGTCCATGAAGGGATAGCAGGGCTTCTGGAAGAAGGGCTCTGTGTTCCCTCACATTTTATGGAGGATCAGGGATGGTCAGAAATTCAAGAAAGAGGGAGACCAGGCAGCCCTGACCTGGAAAACTCTGGAGCCACAAATAATGTAGCAAATACCTTTAAAAAAGGAGGGCTCCATGTGTAACAGCCCTCTCGAATGGTATTGTCAAGGGTGGGGCTCCATAAGATGGACAGGTGGCTTTTGCTAGGAGAGAAGCTGGGGCAGAGTTGGACCTTTGGAAGCTGCCAACACAGAAGGGATCAGAAGCATGCCAGGCTCATGTGGCCTGGGACAGAGAGGGCTCAGCAGATGAATGCGGGCAGCAGACAGTGTTAGGAGGAGACCAATCATCCTCACTGGCCTCGGACACCTGAGTGCTAGGGGACCAGGGAGGAGGACAGGCCTTAGAGTGGGCAAGAAGATCCAGGCTTATCATCTTTCAGATTCACCGTGTCATCAGAGAAGGAATGGAGAGATGAAGGCTAGAGACAGGGCAGAGATGGCAACCATCAGCTCATGGTCCAGGGAAAAAAAGAAGAGCCCTGGGAGAAGAGTCTTTGGGTAACTTCTGCCTCTGAGCCCAGACACTGAGTAGTCTGCTGAACTTGCTCCAAACAATGGAACTCCCTTCATGGAAGTGCCTTTCAGGCTCTTGGAACCTGGGGCAGCCCCATGAATGACTGGTCCTGTGACTTAACCAGCTTCCAAAGAAACTGCTGAAAATATATCATTGACGGATACTACTCCAGAGGGAGGTTTGACTCAGTTGCATAAGCTGTGTGTGCATGTGTGGCATATTGTATACATTACAGCACACCAGTTAGAAGAGGTGGGTACTCACGTATTTCCACCCGAGTGTGGTCTTGCAGTTCTCACAGTAGATGTCTGCAACTGCATGCAGCCCAGTGAGAAGGACCCTCTCCTCAGCGGGACCGCAGCCCACGTTCACCCTGTAGGGACACAGGTGATCACCCTGAAGGCCCATATTCCCAGGCCCCACTGCTGGCTTCCTCCCACCCTGCCCCCCTCCCCAATTATTGAAAGTTCACCAGAAAGCAGCACTGCACCTTTTCAGCTCCCCAACCTCCTGCCAGCTACCACCTTTAATGAGAAAGAATTTTTCTTTTCTTTTTTGCAGTGCTAAAAATGAAATCCAGGGGCTAGGGTTGTGGCTCAGCGGTAGAGCGCTTGCCTAGCACGTTGCAAGGCCCTGGGTTTGATCCTTAGCACTACATAAAAATAAATAAATAAAAGTATTGTGTCCAACTATAACTAAAAAATGAATATTTTTTTAATTAATTAATTAATTTATTTATTTTATTATTGGTCGTTCAAAACATTACACAGTTCTTAATACATCATATTTCACAGTTTGATTCAAGCGGGTTATGAACTCCCAACTTTACCCCGTATACAGATTGCTGTATCACATCAGTTACCCTTCCATTGATTGACATATTGCTTTTCTAGTGTCTGATGTATTCTGCTGTCGGTCTTGTTCTCTACTATCCCCCCTCCCCTCCCCTCCCCTCCCCTTTTCTCTCTCTACCCCTTCTACTGTAAATCAAAAAATGAATATTTTTAAAAAATGAAATCCAGGACCTCACACATGCTAGGTAAGCATTCTACCACTAGACTACACCCCCCAGGCCCAGGAGCAACTTTTTCTCTCCCCACAAGGATCCCAACATGGGACAAACTGCAGGAAAACTAAAGTCCTTATATTAAATTTTCAAAAACTCCCAGCCATAGAAAACTAAAATTCTTTCAGGTCATATAAAGGCATTGGCTGGGTAATTCCAGTCCACAGGTGGAACTCCATTTATATATTCCAGCCATTATGCATAATTGAACACGGGTTGGACAGAAGTGATCAATGCCACACGATGGGAACCCCAGGCCACCTGCCAGACAGCAAGTACTCACACAGAATTGAAGAGGTAGGCTCTTCCCTGACTTCCCTGAAAGGACTGTAAAGAAGAAGAAGGTGTTTTAGAAGATTGATTGTGATAAGACCCTGAGGAGTTCTGCATTCTGGAATGATTGTGGAACAAGGTGAGAGAGCTGCTCAGTCTTGGTGGTCCTGTGGAAATAGCACCATGCTAACCAGGTTCCATTAACTCCACCAGAAGAGGTTACAAAGAACAGGACAGATGCCCCTCCAAAACTCTAATAATAAATGAGGTGAACAAACTGATTTTTCATCCATATTGAGTTGGGAAGTGAATTACTCTGTTGCTCCAACATTCTGAAAGTGACTGTATTGGAACATCATAGCAATACAGCACCAGGCATAATGGTATACACCTGTAGTCTAAGCTACTTGGGAGGCTCAAGCAGGAAGATCACTTAAGGGAAGGAGTTCAAAGTTAGTCTAAAACAAAACCAAAAAATGGTCATGGTCTAACATGATCCTTTCCCAGGAGTCAATGATCTTCCAGTGACATCTCACCCCAAAATGTTACCAGCCAAGAAACTGATCTAGTATATTCATATATTCAAAAATGGTTCAATGTAAATGAATCAGAGTAAGGTAGTGTGCCTCTCTTGAATAGGAAAAAATGCCCCATGGGAGGGTTCATCTGCTTTGGTGCCAGGCTCAAATGACTCACACAGCATGGTCAACCTCCAAAATAATCAAAAGAAATGCAAACCAAATTTTTTTTTGCCCATCACCTTAACTTAAAGTCAAAAGGCTGTGAGGAATGCTTACTGGGACATAATTTGACAACATCAAAATATAAAAGGCACATCCGGGCAGCTCAGGCAGCTAGACAGGAGGATAATGAGTTCAAAGCCAGTCTTAGCAAATTAGTGAGTCACTAAGCAACTCAGTGAGACCTTGTCTCTAAAATAAAATATAAAATAGGGCTGGGGATGTGGCTCAGTGGTTGAGGGTCCTGAGTTCAATCCCCAGTACCAAAAGATAAAGGAAAAAGAAAAGGCACAAACTGTATGACCCAGCAATCCCACGTTTAAGTATTTACTATGAAGAGCTGGACGTGGTGGTGCTTGCTGTAATCCTAGTGGCTGGGGAGACTCAGGCAGGAAGATCTCAAGTTCTAAGCTAGTTTCAGCAACTTGACAAGGCCCTAAGTAACTTAGAGCCTGTCTCAAAATAAAAAAGGCTGGGGATATGGCTTAGTACCTCTGTGTTCAATCCCTGGTACCCCCCCCAAAAGAATTTACTACAAAGAGCCAATCAGCTTGAGTGCATAAGGAAATGTGACAGGAATGGTCCACTGTCACAATATACATAATGGGGGAAAAAAAGGTGAGGCGGGGAGATTCTCATCATGTAAACAATGGCATCCATATACAGGATTCATGTAGAGGATGGGGAACAGGCTGGTGAGTATAATGGAAAGAAATTTACAAAAAATTAAGTGTAAAATAAGTGTCAGTGTAAACTCTTCATTTAGAGTGAATAATGTGGTTTCTATAGACCAAAGAAAAAACATCATATTGTCAAGCCATTAAGAGGGCTAACTGCAAGGAAGAGAGGTAAAACAAGGCAGGCGGAAAGACCAATTCTCCTTTTACTTTGTATATATATTTTTTTCCTTTTTGATGGTGCTGGAGATTGAACCCAGGGTCTTGTGCAGGCACTCTATCACTGAGCTACATCTCCAGTCCCTTTTATCTTATTGATATAGGGTCCTGATAAATTGTTCAGGTTGACCTCAAACTTGCAATCCTTCTGCCTCAGCCTCCTGAACGGCTGGGTTACAGGTGTGTACCATAGCTCTTGGCCCAGTACTTTTTTTTGTGTGTATAGGAGATTGAACCCAGAGGCACTTAACCACTGAGCAACAAAAGTCTTTTTTTAAAAATTTATTTTATTTTTAATTTTTTGGTATAGGGGATTGAACTCAGGAGCACTCAACCACTGAGCCACATCCCCAGCCTTATTTTGTATTTTATTTAGAGACAGTGTCTGAGTTGCTTAGCGCCTCACTGCTGCTGAGGCTATCTCAGCCTCCAGAGCCACTGGGATTACAACTCCTTTTTATTTTTTGAGACAGGGTCTTCCTAACTTGTGAGGCTGGCTTTGAACCTGTGATCCTCCTGTCTCAGCCTCTTGAGTCACTGAGATTATAGGTATGTGCCACCACGCCTGGCCCAATAAGCATTAGTTTATATTTGATTGAATCCGGGGCACTTATCCACTGAGTCACATTCCCAGCCCTTTTTGTACTTTATTTAAAGACAGACTTTGAATTGCTTAAAGTCTTGTTAAATTGCTGAGGCTGGCTTTGAACTCGTGGATCCTCCCGCCTCAGCTTCCCCAGCCACTAGGATTACAGGTGTGTGCCACTGTGCCTGGCTAAGTATTACTTTAATGGATAATTATAAGCAATTTCTTTTAAAATTAAAAGCAAAAACCAAAAAACAAAGGGAGAGCACCTGCTTGACCTTAATAGACATCTCTCATCTGAGCATGAAATAAATCTTTATTTTAAGCCACTGAGATCTGACTTTTTTCTACCTCACTTGATGCAAACAACATTTGAGTTTTTGTTTTTGTTTTGTGTTGGGGGTTGAGTCCAGAGCCTCTAGCATGCTAAGCAGTAGCATGAGCTACAAGTACCCAGCCAACCAGGAATGTTTTAATTTTACAATATAGCTTTCAGACTTAAAAGGGGTATTTCCTTAAGTGATTTTCTAGGATTTGAAATATCATTCTGTGTTCAATTTAACTAATAACTGTTTTATAGAACTTTTGCATATCCTGGCCAGGCATAGTGGCACAATCCTATAATCCTAGTGAACAATCTTGGGAGGCTAACACAAAAATTGCACATTTGAGGCTGACCTTGGAAATTTATCAAGACCCTGCCTCAAAAAATAATAAACCCTGGGGATATACCTTAATGGTGAATCAACCTTGGGTTCAATCCTCAGTACCAGTATGGAGAAGGGGGAGAACTTTTGCACATCCTCATTAGCCTTCAGTTTTCTAGACTAGTTTTCTTGCCTATTATGCAAGTCTTTAGTTTCCAACAGGAAATGACAGAAGCAGCTCTGCAATTCAGATTCAGGTGTTAGTCTGACCAGAATGTGGGACAGCTAACGTCTGTAAATTAGGGCCAGGAGAGGGATGGGTATGGTGGTACATTCCTGTGATCCCAGCTAATGGAGACTGAGGAAGGATGGTTGCCAAGTTTGAGGCTAGCATGAGCAACTTGGCCAGACCCAGTATCAATGTAAAATAGGAACAACTAAGGAAGTAGTTTAGAGGTAGAGTGCTTGCCTTCTGCTCTTGATGTAATGTTAAAAACAGCTATGGTCTAGGGTTCTTTGAAGGAAGCATTTAAAATTCCTTCTGGCTATCTCTAATGACTGATACACCCAGGATGCTCCAGAAAAAAAGACCACACTGGTGCCTGACTATCTGTTCAGGTGAAAGGTCATGGCTAACAGCAGGTGTCATTGCTCAGTGAGATTACCAAGCCCCACAGTCCCTAACTGAAGGCCCAGAGTGCTCTGCCAGTCATTATCTCATGACACCTTTTTACACACTGCACCTATCTCAGAAAATGAGGTGCCTCAGGAGCTTCTACCACTTTCCTGAGAGTTCTGGATGGAAAAAGGAGCCATAAAAGCAAAGAGAGCAGAAAATCTGCCTTGTTTAACATGTTTTATTTCAGATGATAAACAGAAATAACATCTATTACTATTGAAAATGCAAGAGATAAACGTTATTCAAATTGAGTTAAACAATAAACCTACGAAGAGATTCTTGGAAGGTGCAACTTCCTGATGAGACTTTCAAAATAGCCCAGGTAGATAGGTGGGGGGTGAAGATTGGTTCCCAGAATGAATATTCGCTTTTCCATTATATTTGTATTATTCTAAATGTTCACATCTGGTTGATTATAATGATCACATCTGCTAATAAAGAGCTCAATAGAATGAGGAACCAGAGGATGCTTATTTATGTCTTGGGTCTGGAGGTACAGACCACCTACAGCTTTAGTCGTGGGCTCTTACATACCATGGCACAGGTGGGCATGTCCCCCTAGGCATTTTCTTCTCTTTATATTTTTTTCTTTTTGGTTCTAGGGATGGAACCCAGGCTCTTGGGTATGCTAATCAGGTGGTCTATCACTGAGCTTTACACCCAGTGCTCTGGGCATTTATCCGAGCAGCCTCTTTCCTTGTTAATTACTCTAAACTAGTCCTACAGATTTTCTATAGACTTCATTTCTTTCATGTTCTCTGATTTCATATTAATTTCACTGCTTTGACAAATAACTGACTCATCGTGCTCTTAGTAATCTACAAGAATTCCAGATGCCCAGTTCTCCAATACCCATCTATTGTGCCAAGATTACAATAAAGATGTTGGTGTAGGGTCTGGAGTTGTGGCTCAGTGGTAGCAGAGTGCCTGTCTGGCATGTATGAGGCACTGAGTGTGCTCCTCAGCACCACAGAAAAAATGTAAATAAAACAAAAGTTTATGTCTACCTACAACTAAAAAAAAAAAAATTAGAAAAAAAAAAGATGTTGTTGTAGCCACATTTAATCATGCACAAAACTTTCACCAACACTGCCCAGAAGGCTGTAGACCTTTACAACACAGCAAATTCAGGAAGTCATGTGGTATACTAAGTAAGTACCATGATGACAAATGATAATTGTGTTAAGTGTGTTTCATGAGTTTTTTTTTAACTCAAACCACTTGCCTTGGAGATCAGCTCGTCGTGATTGGCCAGGTGGGCTCTGCAGTGGATACAGCTGTACGTTCGGTGACAGTTTGGTAGATAAGCTTGGAACGTTTTGGATTTGGTCATTTTCACCATTTCTGCTGGGTGTTCCTCACTCAGCTCAGGGCTGGCACTTGAAGACCTGCGGCTCTGCTGGACTCTCTGACAAAAGAAACACTGGAAAATGCACGCAAGAGCCGTTGTTGTTTGGAAGGGTGTGTGGCACTGTCCACACAGCTGGGACAAGAAAAAAATGTCACAACCTGTCAACAAATCAGACATAGCTATGGGTTATATAAAGAATAAAATATATATTATTAAGGAGTTATGTTTAGAATTTATGTGTTTTGAAGAATGGGGAGGGGGGCAAGACTAGAAATTAAAGATCTCACTTTTCATTATTTTTGGTGGTGCTAGGGATCAAATCCAGTACCTACCACTTAGCTACATTTCCGGTCCAATATCTATTCTTTAAATGTACTTAAAAAGAATACTGTTAACCATTCTATATTTAGTTAGAGGTGGTAAGTAGACTAATTTTAAATACAAATAGATGAGGAAAAAACATTTGATTAAATACATCTTATACCATGCTTGGCTTTAGGAAACATGAAGGAAAAGGAAAATGCAGCCAACATGGACTCCTAAATGAGATTAGCAGCAGTACTGGACACATCCCAAATCCGGGAATAATGACTCAAAGCACTAAGACATTTGATGGATCCAGTACTAACTAAACTTTAATAAATTACCTGCCAGTCTAGAGATAAATTCAGATTTAAATTCAAATACAGTCAAATAAATTTTGACAAGGACATCAAGACCATTCAATGGGGGAGAGGAATCTATTTTTAACAAATAATGTTGGAAAAACTGGATAGCCATGTGAAAAAAAAAAAGTTGGACCCTCACATAAAACTCTATGAAAAAATTAGCTAAAAACTATATAAAACTCTTAGAAGAAAACATAGGGAGAAAGCTTGGGATATTAGATTTTGCAATAATTTCTTGGATCTGACATCAAAATCACAGGTAACAAAGGGGAAAAAAATAGACAAATGGGATTTCATGAAAATGAAAAACTTTTGTACTTGAAAGGAACCTATCAATAGGGTGATAAAGTAACCAAGAGAATGAACGAAAAGTATTTTCAAACATACCTGATAAGTTGTTAATATCCAGAATATAAAAAGAACTGCAATCAACAACCACTATCAAAAAAAAAATTTTGATTTAAAAAATGGGGAAAGGGGCAGGAAGGGCTGGGATTGTGGCTCAGCGGTAGAGCACTTGCCTAGCATGTGCAGGGACCTGGGTTCAATCCTCAGCACCACATAAAAATAAATGAATGATATAAAGGTATTGTGTCCAACTACAACTAAAAAAATAAATATTAGAGGCTAGGGTTGTGGCTCAGCGGTAGAACACTCGCCTAGCATGTACGAGGCACGGGGTTCGATCCTCAGCACCACATAAATGTAAAACAAAGATATTGTGTCCACCTAAAAATAAAAATTAAAAAAATATTAAAAAAAAAGAAGGACTAGGGCTATAGCTCAATGGTAGAGTGCTTGCCTTGCAGGTGTAAGGCTCTGGGTTTGATTCTCAGCACCACATGAAAATAAACAAATAAAGATATTTGTAAAAAATGGGCAAAGATATGCAAATGGCCAGTAAATGCATGAAAAAATATCCAACATCACTAATCATTAAGGAAAGGCAAGTCTATAATCTTAGCAGCTCAGGAGGCTGAGACAGGAGGATTATGAGTTCAAAGCCAACCTCAGCAAAAAGCAAGGCACTAAGCAACTCAGTGAGACTCTGTCTCTAAATAAAATGCAAAATAGGACTGGGGATGTGGCTCAGTGGCCAAGTGCCCCTGAGTTCAATCCCCAATACCCTCAACCCCTGCAAAAAAAAAAAAAAAAAGAACCAGAAAATAAAAAATGTTAGCAAGCATACAAAGAAATAAGAACTCTTGTGCATTGCTGGTGGGAATAAAATGGTGCAGCTGCTATGAAAAACACTATGGTGGCTCTTTAAAAAAGCAAGCATGGAATTACCATATTGTTATGGTTTAGATATGGGGTGTACCCACAAAACTAATGTGAGACAATGCAAGAATTTTCAGAAGTGAAGTGAATAGGTATATGAGAGGTACAACCTAATTAATGTATTAATCCACTAATGGATTAACTGGGCAGTAACTGTAGGCAGATAGGATGTGGCTGGAGGAAGTAGGTCCCTTAGGGTGTGACTTTAGGGTTTGTATTTTGTCCTTGGTGAGCACAGCTTGCTCTATTTCTCTAGTTGTCATGTCCAGAGCTGCTTCCTTCTTTTTTTTTTTTTTTAAGAGAGAGTGAGAGAGGAGAGTGAGAGAGGAGAGAGAGAGAGAATTTTTATTTTTTTTTAGTTCTTGGCGGACACAACATCTTTGTTGGTATGTGGTGCTGAGGATCGAACCCGGGCCGCACGCATGCCAGACGAGCGCGCTACGGCTTGAGCCACATCCCCAGCCCCCAGAGCTGCTTCCTTCTGCCACTTCCTTCTGCCACACCATGGGCCCAGAGCTATGGAGTTGGACAACTGTGGATTGAAACCATGAGTCAAAATAAACTTTTCTTCCTCTCAACTGTTCTTGTCAAGTATTTTGGTCACTGCAACACAAAAGCCAACTCAAACATATATGGTCCAGAGAGACATACATACCCAAGTCCTTTCAGCAGTATTATCACAATAGCCAAGAGGTAGAAGCAACCCGAGTATTCATGAACAGATGAGTCATGTATAATGTCATGTATAGAATATTATTTAGTTTTTTAAAGGAAAAACTAAATATTTATTCGTGTTGTAGCATGTGCCCACATTTAGGAAATGTGGGCACATGCTACAACATGAATAAATCTTGAAGATAGTATGCTAAGTGAAATAAGGCAGTCACAAAAGGACAAATACTTAGGAGATACCTAATCAAATTCATGGAGACAGAAAGTCAAATGGTGATTTCTAGGGACTAAGGAGAGGAGTGGAGAGTTAGTGCTTAATGGGACAGAGCTTTCAGTTTGAGATGATGAAGAGTTTAGAGATGGATGGTAGTAATTGTTGTGTAATGATGTTAATGTACTTAAAGCCAGCAAACTGTATGCTTAAATGTGATTAAGATGGTACATGTGATTTGTATTAACCACAATGGTTTTTTTCATATATCACTTTTACATTTTAAACATATTAAAAAAAAAAGAAGAAAGAAGGTGAGCCCATGACTGATATTGCCATAACTGCCACCAGGACAGAAGCTAAATTCTTCTGAGTAGCCTCACCTTGGCTGGGCAGTCTTTGTGACAGGTGTCTTGCAGGAGAGAAGCACACGAAGACTTTGTTTCAGGATAAACACAAGAGAAAAATTTTCTCCAAATTTAAAAATATGGCCATGGGAGCATGAGTCTTTAGGCAGTTTTGGCCCAGGAGGTCTGCTCTTCCTCCTCAGGGCACCTCCTGTCCTGGCCTGCAAAGAACTTCTGCTTCAAACAGTATGCCTATTCTTCCTGTGCCCTCCTGTGAATGGGCAGAACACAGTGTCTAAACATACAAGCTGCAGACAGACACAGAATTCCCAAGTTTACTAGGTGTGCATGCCTAAAAATCCCAGGTACTCTGGAGACTGAGGCAGAAGGACTGAAAGTTCTAAGCCAGCATGAGCAACTTAGTAACTCGGGGTCTTAGTGAGACCCTGACACAAAGCAAAAAATAAGAAGGGCTGGGGTTGTAGTTCAGTGATAGTACACTCCTGGGTTCAATCCCCACTACAAAAAATACAAATAATATAAATATATATGACACTCATGTGTCTGCTGCCCATTATGGAACTGGGACCGTGTCACTACTAGGCCACAGTGCCCTTGCAATGTCCCCTTCTGAGATGTCACCCAGTTTGGACCTGTGTTTATCATTCTCTGCTTGCCTTGACACAACATGTATGTGGTGTGGCCCTAGGCAAAACCACTATGTCTTCCATGTTAGGAACTGAATATGGCGCTGTGACTTTTCTGTAGAGGCATGGATGAGTCTGCCCATGTTCCCATTGATTGCTGGCCTCCCTTCACCTGGTACCCATGTTGTGTTCTCATCAGATATGCCTGGTGCATGTAGCCACTGATGGTTCATAGACACATGATGGCTCCCAGATCGGGCCACTGTGTGATACTACCATGGATGGCATCTCTCCTGGGACACCGGCAGGTACATTGTTGGTGCAATCCTAGGAAGTGACAGGTCAAAATTACATGCATCTAGGCCACACTTCCAAATGCTGTGATAAGGACACCCTGCCAGCAGTGGACAATTTTTTTGCTGCCACTTGATATGGTCATATCTTCCTCCCTGCCAACTCCATATGATCACATTTAAATTTTTTGCCAGTTGGTGGTATGAAGCAACATCTCACTGTGGCTTTAATTTGCTTTAACCTGGTCATTCATACTGATGAACAGGCATCCTCTTTTGTGACACTCCTTTTCAGTCTTTCTTCATTTTTTCTATTAGTTGCTGATCTTTTCCTTATTGATTTGAAGGAGCACATGATATATTATGGAGACTGAAACATTCACAAAACAATATAGATTGTGTCATTACAAGCATTATTGTGATGTAAATGTGCCTCCTCATCCTGAGGGAGAGATGTTCTGGGACAAAGCTATGGCTGATGGTCACTGTCCAAGGCTCCCAGAGCAGAGAAGAGAGCTCTTGTAGCTGCAGACCTCTGAATGTGACCATATTTTTGGAGCAGTGGCTTGATTCTGGTATTGTTGTGGGCTGCATATCCCAATGCCCTCAGCCTGGATCCTCCACACATTAGTCACATATATGAAAGTATGCATGAGTCCCCTAGAGGCAGCTACTCCTTAACTCAGTACAATATACTCTCAACTCAGTTGTTCACATGTGCAATGTGAATTTCAGGAGGAACTTAATTATATAGACATGTGTATCATGTACACATGTATATGTGTGTATGTATATATGCATGCATTCATTAATGGGTTTCAAGTTTTCCAAAAGAATAGTCTAACTAGACTCATTATCAATGTGTTAGTTACCATATACAGTTCAAATTTTAAAAGACAAAAAGTAAACCAAAAAAAATATATGGTTTAAGATTTTATAAAAACCAACTTCCAGGTGGCAAAGTGCTTGCCTAGCATATGTGAGACACTGGGTTCAATTCTCAGCACCACATA